TTTCAGTACATATCCCGCCGGATATTACCGGATAATTAGTGTGGTGTACCTATGTTGCTGTACCTCACATTGTTCATTACATATATCGCCGGATATAACCGGATAATGAGTATGGTGTACTTTTGTCGTTGTACATCACATTTTTTTATTACATATATCGCCGGATATTACAGGATAATAAGTATGCTGTACTTATGTCGTTGTACTGTACATCACAGGGTTCATTATATATATCGCCGGATATTACCGGATACTAAGTGTGGTGTAATTATGTCGTTGTACATCACAGGGTTCATTACATATAATCGCCGGATATTACCGGATACTAAGTGTGGTGTACTTATGTCGTTGTACCTCACATTGTTCATTACATATATCGCCGGATATTACAGGATGATAAATATGGTGTACTTATGTCGTTGTAATATCTCACCAGATATTACCGGATAATTAGTGTGGTGTACCTATGTTGCTGTACCTCACATTGTTCATTACATATATCGCCGGATATTACCGGATAATAAGTGTGGTGTACTTATGCCATTGTACCTCACAAGTTTCAGTGCATATCTCGCCAGATATTACCGGATAATTAGTGTGGTGTACCTATGTTGGTGTACCTCACATTGTTCATTACATATATCGCCGGATATTACCGGATAATACGTGTGGTGTACCTATGTCGTTGTACCTCACAGGGTTCATTACATATCTCGCCAGATATTGCAGGATAATAAGTGTGGTGCATTATGCCATTGTACCTCACGGGTTTCAGTACATATCCCCCCGGATATTACCGAATAATTAATGTGGTGAACCTATGTTGCTGTACCTCACATTGTTCATTACATATATCGCCGGATATTACCGGATAATAAGTGTGGTGTACTTATGCCATTTTACCTCACGGGTTTCAGTACATATCCCGCCGGATATTACCGGATAATTAGTGTGGTGTACCTATGTTGGTGTACCTCAAATTGTTCATTGCATATATCGCCGGATATTACCGGATAATACGTGTGGTTTTTGTACTTATGCCATTGTACCTCACAAGTTTCAGTACATATCTCGTTCATTACATATAATCGCCGGATATTACCGGATATTAAGTGTGGTGTACTTATGACGTTGTACATCACAGGGTTCATTACATATATTGCCGGATATTACCGGATAATACCTGTGGTGTGTTGTACATCACAGGGTTCATTACATATATTGCCGGATATTACCGGATAATACCTGTGGTGTGTTGTACATCACAGGGTTCATTACATATATTACGTATATCGCCGGATATTACCGGATAATAAGTGTGGTGTACCGATGTCGTTGTACCTCACAGGGCTCATTACATACTTATGCCATTTTACCTCACGGGTTTCAGTACATATCCCGCCGGATATTACCGGATAATTAGTGTGGTGTACCTATGTTGGTGTACCTCAAATTGTTCATTACATATATCGCCCGATATTACCGGATAATAAGTGTGGTGTACCGATGTCGTTGTACCTCACAGGGTTCATTACGTATATCGCCGGATATTACCGGATAATACCTGTGGTGTGTTGTACATCACAGGGTTCATTACATATATCGCCGGATATTACTACATATAATCGCCGGATATTACCGGATACTGAGGGTGGTGTACTTATGTCGTTGTACATCACAGGGTCCATTACATATCATCGCCGGATATTACCGGATATTAAGTGTGGTGTACTTATGTCGTTGTACATCACAGGATAATAAGTGTGGTGCATTATGCCATTGTACCTCACGGGTTTCAGTACATATCCCCGCGGATATTACCGAATAATTAATGTGGTGAACCTATGTTGCTGTACCTCACATTGTTCGTTACATATATCGCCGGATATTACAGGATAATAAGTGTGGTGTACAGATGTCGTTGTACATCACAGGGCTCATTACATATATCGCCGGATATTACAGGATAATAAGTATGGTGTACTTATGTCGTTGTACTGTTCATCACAGGGTTCATTACATATATCGCCGGATATTACTACATATAATCGCCGGATATTACCGGATACTAAGTGTGGTGTACTTATGCCATTGTACCTCACAAGTTTCAGTACATATCTCGCCAGATATTGCAGGATAATAAGTGTGTTGTACTAATGCAATTGTACCTCACGGTTTTCAGTACATATCCCGCCGGATATTACCGAATAATTAATAAGGTGTACCTATGTTGCTGTACCTCACATTGTTCGTTACATATATCGCCGGATATTACAGGATAATAAGTATGGTGTACTTATGTCGTTGTACTGTTCATCACAGGGTTCATTACATATATCGCCGGATATTACTACATATAATCGCCGGATATTACCGGATACTAAGTGTGGTGTACTTATGTCGTGGTACATCACAGGGTTCATTACATATATCGCCGGATATTACCGGATAATACCTGTGGTGTATTTATGCCTTTGTACCTCACAAGTTTCAGTACATATCTCGCCAGATATTACCGAATAATTAATGTGGTGTACCGATGTCGGTATACCTCACAGGGTTCATTACGTATATCGCCGGATATTACCGGATACTAATTATGGTGTACTTATGTCGTTGTACGTCACAGGTTTCAGTGCATATCTCGCCAGATATTACCGGATAATAAGTGTGGTGTACCGATGTCGTTGTACCTCACAGGGCTCATTACATATATCGCCGGATATTACAGGATAATAAGTGTGGTGTACAGATGTCGTTGTACATCACAGGGCTCATTACATATATCGCCGGATATTACCGGATAATACGTGTGGTTTTTGTACTTATGCCATTGTACCTCACAAGTTTCAGTACATATTTCGCCAGATATTACCGGATAATTAGTGTGGTGTACCTATGTTGGTGTACCTCAAATTGTTCATTACATATATCGCCGGATATTACCGGATAATAAGTGTGGTGTACCTATGTGGTTGTTCCTCACAGGGTTCATTACATATCTCGCCAGATATTGCAGGATAATAAGTGTGGTGTACTTATGCTATTGTACCTCACGGGTTTCAGTACATATCCCGCCGGATGTTACCGGATAATTAGTGTGGTGTACCTATGTTGCTGTACCTCACATTGTTCATTACATATATCGCCGGATATAACAGGATAATAAATATGGTGTACTTATGTCGTTGTACTGTACATCACAGGGTTCATTATATATATCGCCGGATATTACCGGATAATAAGTGTGCTGTACTTTTGTCGTTGTACATCACATTTTTTATTACATATATCGCCGGATATTACAGGATAATAAGTATGCTGTACTTATGTCGTTGTACTGTACATCACAGGGTTCTTTACATATATCGCCGGATATTACCGGATACTAAGTGTGGTGTACTTATGTCCGTTGTACATCACAGGGTCCATTACATATATCGCCGGATATTACCGGATACTAAGTGTGGTGTACTTATGCCATTGTACCTCACAGGTTTCATTACATATATCGCCGGATATTACCGGATAATAAGTGTGGTGTACTTATGTCGTTGTACATCACAGGGCTCATTACATATATCACCGGATATTACAGGATAATAAGTGTGGTCTACTTATGCCGTTATACCTCACATTGGTCATTACGTTTATCGCCGGATATTACAGGATAATAAGTGTGGTGTACTTATGCCATTGTACCTCACAAGTTTCAGTACATATCTCGCCAGATATTGCAGGATAATAAGTGTGGTGTACAAATGTCGTTGTACCTCACAGGGTTCATTACGTATATCGCCGGATATTACCGGATAATAAGTGTGGTGTACTTATGCCATTGTACGTCACAGGTTTCAGTGCATATCTCACCAGATATTACCGGATAATTAGTGTGGTGTACCTATGTTGGTGTACCTCACAGAGTTCATTACATACCTCGCCAGATATTGCAGGATTATAAGTGTGGTGTACCTATGCCATTGTACCTCACAGGTTTCAGTACATATCCCCCCGGATATTACCGGATAATTAGTGTGGTGTACCTATGTTGCTGTACCTCACATTGTTCGTTACATATATCGCCGGATATTACAGGATAATAAGTATGGTGTACTTATGTCGTTGTACTGTACATCACAGGGTTCATTGCATATCTCGCCGGATATTACTGGATAATAAGTGTGGTGTACCTATTAGGGCAATGATAACACCCTATCAATCCGTTGTCTTCATATTGTGACCCGGGTGGAATGCTGGATGCCTTCGGCATGATGTTTCAGTATTTAAGGTAGCACTGCTGAGTCGGCGTCAGATCCGCGCTATCACAAGGAGGCAATTACGCCAACATACCCTACCTCCAGCACACATTGTTAATTTTATATTGCGCCGGATATAACAGGATAAGTTAAGTTTAATTATGTTGCTATACCTCATATAGTTTTATACAACCAGGTTATACCATAATAACAAATGAGACTTGCCTTATCCTCTTGTTTTAGTACCAGTGGTTACATCCGTTTGTACCTGCTGATTGATACTAAGACAGACCAGGGCCGATACTTGTTCTGACTAAGATCGGGACAAGCTAGCGCTGATTGGTCATTTTGATCAATGAATTGATGGTTTGTTTTGAGCTTTGTTATTTCCCATTTTTACATAAGAAACATGTATGAACTGACACTTTGGTGATGATATTGAAGCATTCAGCACGGTCAATGTATGAAGTAGCGGCTTCTCCATTTTCCACGTGAAACTTTGTAGACGCACTCTGACGTTTGTTTATCATAATATTTGTTTAGCATAGGTCCGATATAAACACTATCATTCAAAGATTTAATCTTTATCACTCCAGCCATGGCAATTTCGATGAAGGACAACATGGAAGTATCGGCTTATATGAATGAGTTGAACAGAAAAGCAAAGAGAGAAGCATTAAAAGGTAACGTTAGTATACATATCAGTTTACAGTTAATGTTCAGGTACATGGTAGCGGTTACGGTTGATAAATGGATGACATATTAGTCTATCATTGAAATTAATCTAACGAAAACAACATACATGATTCACAAAAACTTAGAAATGTTGATTGTGCCTTTTCTAGACTACGCTACAACGATTTCTCAACCTCGACTTGCGGAGAAAACTTGAAAAGGGCAAATGTCTTTAAAAGAAAGTGTTGTCATAGTTAAAGAACAAAAGAATGTGTTGCCATAGTTAAAGAACATAAAAATGTGTTGCCATAGTTAAAGAACATAAAAATGTGTTGTCACAGTTATAAAACACAAGAATGTGTTGTCATAGTTAAATAACACAAGAATATATTGTCATAGTTATAAAACACAAGTATGTGTTGTCATAATTAAATAACACAAGAATGTGTTATCATAGTTATAAAACACAAGTATGTGTTGTCATAGTTATAAAACACAAGTATGTGTTGTCATAATTAAATAACACAAGAATGTGTTGTCATAGTTAAATAACACAAGAATATATTGTCATAGTTATAAAACACAAGTATGTGTTGTCAAAGATATAAAACACAAGTATGTGTTGTCATAGTTAAATAACACAAGAATGTGTTGTCATAGTTATAGAACACAATAAAGTGTTGTCATAGTTATAGATCACAAGTATGTGTTGTCATAGTTAAGGAACGCAAGAATGTGTTGTCATAGTTAAGGAACACAAGAATGTGATGGCACATACAAAAATATACGATAAGACCATCCTATCAGATGAAGAATTTATAAAAAGCCCTGCATGTGTACCATATCAAAACCTTACGAAAACTACAAACCTGTTTAATAGGGCAAACAGACGAACTACGACGGGGAGTCGGACCTGTCACGGTCTTGTGCTTAGATACTTCAGGGAGTATGGAAGGTGCAGCATTCCGGGAGATGATTTCACTAGCAATTAAGTTTGTTGATGGTAGGTATACAATTAATTAGTTTTAAAAACGCCATACCCATATTTATTACATTTTTGCCAGTGAAATATCGGATTCTATCAACTTGATATAACTGATATTTTTCACACTGTGAAAATAGCAAGTGATATTTTTCACACTGTGAAAATATCACTTTTTGGTATTGACCAATCAAAACACAGAACAGACACAGGTATACTTATCAGTGGAACTATTTTATTAGTCTGAATTATCTCCCTTCCATGAAATTTTGACGAGTTATCTTCCTTTTCGAAGTCTTCCCTATGTTTACTGTCGTCTGCTAGAGTACACACAGGACCTGGAACAATCTGAAACATAACAACATGGATTCTGGTGGAAATATGGAAATATTAATGAATTTGTTTGGCTAAGATGAAGATTACACCAACTTTAAAATTCTGGAACAGCATACTGCCCCCCAAAAGACAATAGTCGTCGTTTTCAACAAGTTTCATTAGATGATGTCAATACCTTTTTGGAAAACCAACAAAATGCAAACACAGAGAAAAAGACTGAACAGGATATGGCTGTGTTCAAACAATACTTATGGGAATAAGGAGAGCACCGTCTACCGGAAGGAATCCCTCCGATAGAGTTAAACAACTTAATTGGAAGTTTCCTGCTCTCAGTAAAGAAAAAGAATGGAGATGATTTTTAGCCAACCAGTCTGAGGTCATTTCTGAGTAGCATTGACCGATACATGAAACAAAAATTATACCCGGTGTCTATTGTGAATGACTTCCAATTTTCAAAATGTAGAGAAGTTATTTTAGTTAAAACAGAAGCAACTTATATAAATTAAAGGTCTAAGGAAAGGCAACAAACCTTGGGCAGCAGATGAGATGACCGATGTAGACTAGGACGAGCTGTACAAGAGCAATGTATGGTACATTCACTGTGGCTTGTTTGCGGGAGCCACTTCGGCATGCGACCAGAGAATGAGACCTATGATCTTCGATGGGGAGATATAGAACTCAAAACGGATCTGGAAAAGAGAAAAGAATACATTATCTATACGCAAGAAAGACAAACAAAAACAAGAACTGGACTGAATCCTCGAGATGTGAGTAAAGTAAAGCCGAGAGCCTATGCCATCCCAGAGGATCCACATCGTGATCCAGTTGGATTATACAATTCTCCAGACGCCCCTTTCTTCTTAGGAATAAATTATGACGCCAACCTTGATAAGTACAACTGTATGAAAATTAGGCAACTTGCTATTTAAAATTAACTCAATATTACCATGAAAATTTATTAATATGAAAAATGAACAATAGAACTATGCTTAATTTAGTTATATTGATGAAATTATTATACGGTACCAAATGCAATAAAAAAAACTGTTCATAGTCTCCATGTAGGTCGACTTACATGTTTTGCACAACACAAAATGTAAGTGCGATAAAATATTTTGTGCATTTTCTTAAATATAAAACAAAAAATGGGAAGCATGTATATATGTTTCTAAGGAAATTAAACATACAAATTGAAGTTTGTTTTGTTTTTAATTATAAATAACAGATCTTTACACCAGTAGATGGTACAAAAAGTGTGCCATGATGGACATAAACAAAATGTACGGCATCATGAAAGGATCGACTGAAAAGGCTGGGCTTAACACAGGAAGACGTCTAACCTAATTACAGGTATTTACTATATATGTCAGAACACTGTCAATGTTTTACTAAAAGCTAGTCCACTAGAAGTCTAGACCTGAAATAAGTTTGTGTCTTCTGTACAGTATGCATGATCAGAAAGATCAATATCCCCCACAATGTGTCAAAATATGCTCTTCAGTAAATATTGCCTTTAAATGCCTTGAAAATATCAGTAAAAATCTGTTTTGTTTATTTTTAGTGTGAGGAAACACCTAGTACAGAAGCTCAGCGATTCAGGAGTTCCCCCTAATCAAATTGTGCAAATCACCGGACACAAGAATGTGAACAGTTTAAATAACTACAGTAAAATAAATGCAGCGCAAAACCATGAAATGTACAACATATTGTCGGGCCGTCCCGAGTTGAATCACAGTTACAGTCACTACGCCCCCATCGCGCCTCCCATGCAAACACCTCGATCAGCTGTTTCATCAAATTCATCACTTGGAAAGGACCCATCTCCACATAAAAATATAAATCCTGCAACTCTGTTTGGTGGTAACACAACATTTCATGGCTCTGTTAATTTTCACTTCCATGGAAGTCAGATGAGCACGACAAGTTCTCATGTTATGATCAACCAACCCTCATCTGTCTCCGAGACGGAGCTCGAGCACCACCGCCATTGTATACGTCGTCGTTACCAATAATGGCATGACACGACGGGAGAGAGAGAATATGTTCCTTATCTTGGGTGTTTTTGAAAGGGCTGATCTTAATCCCTCTACGCTTTCTGCGCACACTACTGTATCATCCAGTTGGTTCCACTCAAGCGGTGTTTTGATGAAGAAGGAGTTCGTGTATGCTTCCTGTTTGTATCCTTGGATGATTAAAGGCCTTTAGTTGTTGACAATGTTCCGGTTTAATGTTGCTGATGTTTCATAGTTCTCATAACGCTTTGTGTTTGTTTATCGCGTCCTTCCAGAGTGCTGGATTATCTGATCTGGGGGTAGGGCTGGTATTATCCCCTCAACTACTTTGTACATGAATACTAGCCACTGTGATGTCCTTCTGTTTTGTAAGGTTGGTAGTTTTGGGTGTTGTAGCATTTCTGTGACACATTCTTCATCCCGACTTTTGTAGTTCCCTGTAATTAGGCGAGCTGCTCTACTTTGTATTCTCTCTAGTTTTTCAATGTCTGATTTTAGATGAGGGTCCCAAATAATACTGCCATAGTCCAGAATTGATCTAGCAAGGGATATAACCGTTATATGCTGTTTTCTTACACTCTTTTGGGCAGTGTTTTAACCCTTAGACTGCCACAGGGCCGATTTGGGCCGATCTGATTTTTACGTTGACTGCCGCATGGCCGATCTGGGCCGATCGGCTTTTAACGAATTTTGACGTCACGATCGGCATTGTCAATGACGTCATCAAAGCATGTGACATGAGACGATCTGGAAACTATTTGTTCTGTGAGGCGATTTATGTTCAAATTTCAATCATTGTTAAAAACATCATATCGGCATCGCAGACGCACATATCGTATACCAATGGAAAGCTGAGAATCTGATATTGAAGCTCGTATTTTAAAAAAGATGACATGCTTTCCCCGTGTTTTGAAATACCCGTCCATATAATAAAGGAAAAAGAACAAAATCACGACACCAAAGTATACACTGCGTGTACCGTTTCCTGCATTTCACGCAGTTGAATATTCTAATTTGATCTCCACTCTACTTTCTGTTTCGGTGTCAAGTGATAGACTATGGGTACTTTTTATTTATTTATCTATTTCTCTTGGACTTTCTGTGAAAATTCGGAGCAACGGTGTCAGTATATTAGAAACCATTCGCGGACTTTCGTGCTGTAAGCGATGTATTTGAACTTTCAATTCCTCGGAGATATGAAGTTGGATACGGCAAGTGGACACATGGCACGAACAAGGTGTCTAATCCCTTATACACATTATCTGGTATCAATTTTCAAACTAACTAAACTTCTATAAGTTGGCTAGATCAATAGTATAAGGGGTTTTGAGGTCCGTTCGGACCCTGTTTCATTTTTTTCCCCTTATATTTCATCTCTATTTTTTCTCATAAAAGTTCCATAAGGTATGTCTCGTTCACTTCGCAGAAATGATTGACCAAGTCTATAGTCAGACTGGAAAAAGTTTCCAGTGCATAATTAGTAACGTAACAAAGGGCGCGTTCGGATTCAAATATATATAGAATCGAATCTAGAGATGTGCTGTTTGCCGACCTTTGCACCAATACTCGTCATGACACGTACGTAAAATTCCGCTAGCGTACGCCAAGTTCTGTTAACATCCTTCCAATTTTAAAGGAGCTGTGGTTCTTTAAGTCGCTTCAAACAGTTACTAATTAACGACCTAGTTTGACGAAGACATACGTGCCTCGGCGAGCAAGAATCAGTGAGAATACGTTTTTGTATTATGAACTTGAAGCCGTCAATAAAAACACTGTGAAATAGTTAATGTCGACTGAAATATTCGAATGGCGTTACACATTTTGTTTTATATACGTCATATCAGTATCTATAATGTTAACAAAATGTGCCGCCCCAACCACCACCCCATCCCAACAAATTAATTAGGCTTTATATTAGAATTGTTAGCGATACCAAGAGTATCAGTCTGTGATTAGAAGACGAATACATGAACTAAATAGAGAAAATGACTCACCGGTTCTATGTGTACGTTCAACTGAACAATACCACAACTCTTTTGAAAATATGTCTTCGCATTCAAAGACTTTCGCCCTCGATTTTGTACTGAGCGGGTAACGCTTGGATTTCGAAATTGCAGGAAATAAAAAGCATCATATATGATTGCGTACAACAGATTGTACACACATTCTTATTCGTTGTCATACACTAAAGGTATAAAATTCCACATCTGCAAGTTTCTACTATATACCTTAATATCGGCCGGTATAGCAACATGCGCACTAACTGCTGAATTACATGTAATTATATAAAGTGATAGATACTTATTTACGCTTGCCATAGAGGTATAGTATGTGATTCAAGGTGATCGTAATAGTTGTATATGATCGTTTGAATATGAAGTAATTCAATGTATTTTTCCATGACGTTTCCGGAGAAAACGTATTTGGGTCTACGCATAAATTGTTGACGTCATAGTACAACGACGTCATGATAGGACATTTCAAAACCACGCTGAAATCTTGGCCTGACAGAAAATCAGGGCTTTCACTGTGGCAGCGAAAGGGTTTAGTTTATTCTCAAAAAGTTGAGCTCGCTTTCCTCGCGATGTTGCTTATATGAGTACTTCATTGGAGGTCGTTTGATATCTGGAGACCTAGGTATGGATTGTTTTGTACCTCTTCTAAAATGTGGTTTTTCAGACTGTAGAATTACGATGACTTTTAGATGGCAAATTTACCTGCTATCGAGGAAAGGCGATTTAAAAGGATCCGGTTGCTTCCAAAAAGCGACAGCGAATGAACAAAAACTTACCATGACAAAGGAAGTCGTCGCCACATTCCACATTCCTCAAAAAACGCAAAAAAAGGCAGCAATCTCTCCTCGTTCCTTTTCAAAGAGACCGCCATTGATCGTTGTTTTTGTCACCAACTTATGCGCGCAGCAATATATCAAGACAAACGCTTAACTTTTGTTTGTGTATTGTTAAACACTTCAAGAGTAGTGTTCTTGATTTATATATTGAATTAAATAATCATTGGTAACCTATATTTTTTCTTAGTATATTTCCTTATTTAGTGGGTAAGGAACTATTTTTTGTGCGCAGGAAAAAATAATGTTACAGTAACCAGTCCTCGAAGCGGGGGGGGGGGGGGGGCATTTACCGTAAATGTTGTTAAAACAACACTGACTGGTCGGAACACACAAAAAATGTAATAAATATAAAACTTAACGGTGTCTTCAGTAATAACAAATATATTTCACTCGTGTAGCTATTATTTTGATATTTTCACTCGGGCTGCGCACTAGTATTTGTTATTACTGAAGTTAAATATCCTCTATGTATCTCTATCTGTTGAAAATATTCACTAATTTTAGGTTTGATTAAGAATCCTACAATTTCGTACCAACTTCGGACAGTTATTGTAGAAACATTACAATCAGCCAAGCCTAAGTATTATCTGTTCAGAATCATTACAATTATGAGATTGTGCCATTCTAAATGAAATTTGATCATCTGACGGAAATTTGAATTAGAAACAAATTGTTATTATCTCTTTAATTATACTACATGTTCACAATGACGGGGCTCACTCTATCCAGTGACAGTATATAGTATATACAGTATATACGTCCCTGCTATGTCGTATGTGATGAGAAATATTGTATATTTCCCTTATAATTCACACCAGTATTTTATTGGATACAATTATCAACTGACAGGATATATTTGACTTTTCTTAGTAAAATGACCATAAAAGTACGATCATGAACTGATCACGTGGCACTACATTGATATAGGTTGTATTGCATACTCCTCAATGGCCATTGGATAAGTAGTGGTCTTTTTATGTATCCAACGGTTACCAATTGTATATATGAATAGGCCGCTTCTTATCCAGCAGTTGTGTACTTAAACAATGCTAACGGTTGAACAGGGCCAGCACCCCAAAACATCAAGCGTGGATAGCATGCAAACAGTTAAAAAGAGTAGGAAGCATTAAATGTAATGCTTAAGGAAACGATTGAGCAACTTCTTGGCCAAGACATGATAAAAAAAATAAAAAATAAAAAATAAAAAATCCTGTTGTTTAGAAACGCTTCAAATCCTAGCATGAATTACCGATAATTAGATTAGTATTTTCTCAATCTAAATAATGTTTTCCTTATTCCAATATTTCAAATGCAGTTGGACCCCTGAATAAAAAAATGAACGTGCATCAGTAACTGAATCTTGCAGCATCTAATAGGTAATTTGAGTGATAAACAAATCATCTTCCAGTTGGAATATGCCTGCATTAACAAATGACCTTTAACATATATTTTGGGTATGTTTGTACTGTTCATCAAAATTACCATTATACATTGTGTTAAGTTTTTCTGTAATATAAAAAAACTCGTTTTGGTGATGGATCAGTCAGTGAAATATTTCACTGGCTTATCAAACACCAACTCATGATATATCCTTTCCGTACATCTACATATATGTATATGTACCGTACTTTAAGTTAGCTTTTCAATACATTGATTATCTACATGTAAACCGAATGTAACAACAAAATTGTGACTTACTCAATTCGCCTATGGTATATCATAGCGCAAATTTATTATGAAACAAAATTAGCATGCCTATTATCATTATACAAGCACAATACAATGACATAAACTTTTAATTTACTTTATTTTATTGTCTTGCAATGACCTGTTTACTAGGGATTCGAAAAGTCTCCCTACTCCTTGGTATAACAGAGAACATTGGGGTGTCCACTTTCGGAAAGCAGACTGGTGTCCTTCTCCATATAACCAACCAATATGACAAGGTGAAGGAGGTGTTACGTGAGTACCAATCGTGGAATATATCTAATCGCTACCATAAATCACTGATAGTATGTACAGTAATCATATCGTAGAATGCCATAAATACTGTGTAACTTTTATTTCGTTTTTACTAATATATAGTTTACAATGAAAAAATACAAACAGTTGGTATTGTCGATTGTGACAAAACATCACATGAGATTATTATTATTATTTTTCATGTTTTATTACTCGTTCAAAGTTATCGTTAATAATAATATATTCAATTACTTATAAAATGTACTCGTCACTCATGAAGAAACCATGAATACCCTCTTTGTAAATAAAATCGTGTGAAGTGGTCAGGAATACGATCACATGTTTCATTATTTCGCGAACAATCAGTCAAACTCACAAAAAAACTCTTATTCTACAATTGTCCTTTTAGCGAATTGAAATTATCTGAAGTATCACTTGAAGCGGAAATTATATTTAGATTCACAGATAATAGATAAAGTGAAAGTTGATATATGAGTATAGTTACATATCAAGTTACCACATCTAATCCACCAACTGAAGTCGCCGGACAACCCATTGACCATTCTTGAGCGCCAAGTGAAGAATGCATAATGGAAAAAAATGTGTAACAAATAGAATGTTCTTAGTGCGGTTTTGTTTTAATACCTTCATTGTTTTCTCTTGTATTTTCTTCTCGTGAAAAACAACAATATGAATAAAGCATAACGGTTACTGATAAAGAAAACAAATTGTCTGACGGAAGCAACTGTATGATTTACTTTGGTTTATATTTAACAGTAACACTAAAGGCAGAAGGACCTAGTCCGATGTTCGGGGGAATAATAATGGCAAGTGCAGCATGTATTTGTAAGTATTAAGCTGGGATCGACATTGATGTTTAAAGAATACTTTAAATATTTTTATAATAATATATCACCATTTCCGTCGAAAGTGGTAAAGATATGCGCACATTACATGATGTTATAACAGATTACTGGTGTTTTAGTGGTCGCATGTTTCCACATGATACCTGTTATAATTATTGAACGATTTCCATAAAAAAATTGCCATCATGTGGAGGGGGAGGTGGTCCACGGTTGTTTTCGCGGGTTTCCTTGCGGATCTTAATTTTGCTTTCGGTGTAACTCTCTCCAAGTCAGCAGCTCTCTTTATTGTCTGGCGTCAATGAATTTAACTCTGGCGATTAATTTCCATGTTGGACTTTAACCGGTGAGAATACAGTTTATCAATAACGCTTTGTTCACTTTAAAACAGGCAAAACGGTCAGGATGAACGGAATCCCTGTTGGGAGCAGCATCAAACTGATCCTTATTTCCATTTATTAAAAACATTAGCAATATACTCTTAAACCTGTAAAGGAGTATTTTTACCCGACAACACTTTGCCTTGTTCACTATATAACAGACAAAGACGTCACGATGAACGGAATCTCCATTGGGAGCAGGATCATACTGATATCTGATGGCAAGGGCACACCCGATTACTGGCATCTGATGGGCGACACTGTCGACCCCAACAACGCAAAGGCTAAGTTATTGGTGAGTTCGACTACATGTATAACATGATAATGTATGCAGGACCTAAAAAAGAAAATTAAGCTTTTTTGCTTTGTTTTGCTGATAAATGATACGTAAAATAAAGCTAACAAAACTATTCACATAAGAAAAAATACAGAACCCACAGGATTGTTTTGTACTTTCTATTTGCAGGTGAATAACTCTATGGTCAACGCAGGTCATCTGGTTAAGTCACATGGAAATACTGTTTATTCAGTTCCGGTTGGAGATTACACGGAGGTGAGTGATGGTAAAGTCAGACTTATCTTGCCTGCTTTCGAATGCTGTAATATACCATAAATGTCACCCAAGCGTGTTCTTTGTTTCATAATGTATTGTTGTACATTTCTATTAAATTCAGTTGTACATTAAAAACAATTTCCTTGACGATTTTTGTCGTTTAGTTGAAAAGCCATCGATATTTTCTTCATTTCCATAGGAAACTCTGGCACAAGTGGCGAGAACATCTGGCGGGCACATCATTCAAAGAAATGAGCTTAACCGACTTGTACAGTTCGCACAACAACAGGTAAGTCATGAAAAATGAATTCAATAGTTTTCCTAAAACACGCCTTTGATTGGCTCGCTAGTATCGAAGACTACATGCAAGTCGTTAGAAAAAAACTTTTAATAAACAAATGTTTTCATTTTAATGTGTCTTTTGATCATATGTTAATATAATTAATCTCATTTTTGGCTCCTTTTAAATTCATACTACATTCCCGACCAAAGGCACTTGTATATCACGTTAAATGTTTTTTGTGTGGGTTTATGATGCCAATTCATGATGACACTCTGTATAGACATAAAATATTTACAATTATTTATTTTACATGCGTAGTTTGTTAGTTAGATAGGTACAATGTTGTTCATTTTTGAAGAAAAACATGTATTGTACCGCAATAGCCTAAGCAAATCTGATTTGATTATTTAAAAAATAGGTGGTTAATTGTTTGTATATGATCGAATGGTGATTAATTGAATTATGTGTTTCAATTTTGTGACTGTAGAGCATAGCCGCAAGCTCCGTGTGCATGTGTAGGGATCTGGGAGAGGAAGTAGATCGCGAGCCTTTCCTTAGGTCCATGATCGGTGTGGAGAGCCTACCTGGAGAGCCTACCTTCGACCAAACCAAAGTAATAACTTATTTATCATGTATGAATCAATACTCACCTCCTTATGGTTATATCCGTTATTATCTATATAAAAAGATGATCGAATTTGTTATTGATTTTGTTTTAAATTTGTGCTTCCGTTATCTTAAATGACATTCTGGGAAAATTATATAATTAGATATAAAAAAAAAAATTAAATATAACTATATAACTTTATAATTAGTTATATTTTATGAAGGGTGCAATGTATCAAGAGACTCCTACCATCAATAAGAATGTGAATGTCAGGATACTGGTTGACGAAATTGTATCTAATCATGCTTCTGTTCTACAATCCTTCCGAACTTGTGTCGTTTGTGCTGGATTTCGAAATTTTACCAAAAATCCTTCTAAACAGTGTTTTATTGGTGGCTCTGCTAGTTACCCAACCAAGCCATTATCTAATCTTGTTTCTTCTATTCTTAGTGCCATTAAATCAGGATGACAGTCGCGAGTTAAGGGACAGATGAACCCAAAAGATCTTTTGCTCAATCCTGACTATTCTTTTTTCAAAAGTGGTTTATTTCCTGTCAGAATATTCAAATCTTCACTGTTATACATGTCCATACCTTATATCAAAAAGAAGAAATAACTTCGTTATCCTGTCAAGAGAGGGGGTTTTTTTCCAAAGAAAGGCGAACATCGTAACAAAATATATGGTTTCGATCATATTTAGTAATAAACGAGACAAAAGCCAAGATAGAACTGCATGAGTATGATATCGTGGGAATTATCAAGTTCCTGATTGCGTGTGGTTGCATTTAGTGATAAGATTTTCAGGCAGATTGATCGGAACGAACTAGACCCCTTTCCTTGCTGACTTGGTTTTGCCACGTTCTTTAACTTCACTTTCAGATATATCGATGGTCTGTTGTTTTAAAATAACAAGAAACTCATTCACAATGTCCATCATGCATACCTTCCTAAACTTGACTCAGCCGCTCTCCTCGATCTTAATGTACAATCACACAAACAGGGACGGTTTAACATTAAGCTGTACGAGTAGCAAGGCTATTTCAATTTTTCGACTTTGATATTCTGCAGTTGTTGATATTAACCGCGTGCCTTCACACAGTGTTATAAAATGATTCGGTATCAAAGGACTTCATCTTAATGTCACTTTTTCCGTGAAAAATATCGACCGATGTCGGACGATTTGGTTTGGTATGGTTTTATTTTGTTTAACGTCCGCTTAACAGCTAAGGTCATTTAAGGACGTGTCTTCGTGTGTGTTTTGGAAGCATGCATGCGTGTATGTATACTGGAGACATGGTATATTGGTGTAATTGCCTCCTTGTGATAGTGCGGACCTGATGCCGAATTTATAGTGCTACCTCACTGAAATACCATGCCGAAGGCACCAATTAAACCATTCCGCCCGGTCACATTATACTGACAACGTTTGAACCAGTTGTTGCCATTCCCCCTAATACTGAACGTTAAGTAGGGAATAACAACTACCATTTTTAAGAACTTTGGTATGTCCCGGCCTGGGGAGAGAACCCTTAACCTTCCTCGCCTTGTTCAACATGTAAGCCAAAAGTGAGGTATTGCCAAGCAAGGAAATAAAAGGTAGATAGACGTAAAGAGAAATATAAAGATCCCAACTATTATAATTGGTGCAGCAGATTTATTTTGGTCGCTTTTTTGTTTAAAGTAGAGGGCACAAGATCAAATCCCCAATTCTGCAGGGGGTTGCATCATTAGTCGCTTCTTACGATACATGCAGTGGGTAACAGCAGGTGTATTATTTTCTCGATTTCCGACCCTCAGGGGTGGATGTCGGACGAATGTTAACACAATATGTCGAGAGATGCAGGTTAATGAAGACTGTTGGCGATTTTAATTGGTCACAATCATCATTCCATTAGGAAATAATCTATTTCGATTTGAGATAAAACGGTCGTTTGCTTTTTATTACGCTCGTTGTTTTGCGTTGAAGTTTCGTTGTCACTTCTACGGTTTATCAATTTCGGGCATGACATCACTTATATAAAATCTAGATTCACAAGTCGGGTGTTGTAGAGGGTCCAGAAAACGCTCATCCTTGTGAACACCTAGTCTTATTCTCCATTTAGAGTTACTCCGTGTAAATATTTTCTTTGTTTAAATTCTGATCTAGTTTCATCGATTTTGAGTTCCATTTAGTATCACAGTTAAACTATATCGCTCTTGGTTTCTTTTGTATCAGATGGACATTCTAACTCTAGCATTAAAGTTTTCCAAGTCTGAGGTCCAACGAAAGGACACAGGTGACAAAGGCGACGTCATGGAAGAGGTAAACACGAACATGCCGTGCATCGGAACACGTGTCCGACGCGGTCCAAACTGGAACTTGGGTAACCAGGATTACGAAGGACCCGGGACGGTTGTTGGCCATGATTCCGATGGTAAGTTCGGGTTTGATCTGTAGTAATCTAGAAGGTTTTTCCTTCCAAAAAACTGAAGGTTGATCACAGATTGGTAGATAATCATTGATAGCATAAGTTATATGTCAGATAAAGAATGATTGTTTTATCTATATCTCTAAATATTGCAGCTACGGTTGCTCTATAGCATGCGTTTTTCGGAAGGTTAAACTGACTATGTTTACGCTTCAATGGACTTGATCTGTATCATTCATAAGTGTGCGATATACGTTCAAACTAGAGTACAATGCTGTATATAACCGTATAAAGTGTATTCAAGAAGTTTCAGGGGATAGTCAACCTGAACTGTTGTACATTATAGCAAAAAGAAGAAATACTATTTATTTATTTTACAACAATGTTCGTCTCTCTTGTGAACTTGGACAAACACACAGAACTTTTAGGTAATGCGCATGTGGCAGAATTTACCGATTAAAAAATGTTAAAAATTAATCAAAAAGCTATTTAAACCATTTATAAATCTAAATGCAACCAACTTATTAACGAAAACATAATTAATTAAACTAAAAATATCGCACTATTTTGTAAACCTATACTCCAAGCAACAATACTTAGAACATTATAGCATCACTTGATTTTCATTACATGAAACAAATATTTATGGAAAAAATGGGCATTCTTTTTATAATTACACTTAATATAAACAAAAATCAAAAAGTTAATTTAACAAAATAAGCCTATGAACCTATGCACGTCATCGCGTGATCTCATACTTCACTTCTCAACACCACACTCATTGGTTATTATGTTTTAAAGCACATCACCAACCATGTTTGGTAAATGAAATTTCAATTCCCTCTTCATTTCGAATTGTTCATTTCAAATGACTGTGAATGGTATATAACTGAATACAGTTTGTCCACATGAATTACACTGCCCATGCAGTTAGTTCGTCCTTCTAGGACACGTCAGTGATGCTAAAGGGAAAATCGGTGGAAATCCAAATTACTGTTGAAACAGAAGGGGGGATGGCGGTTAGGGGTGGATACAGCCACGTTAAATCATCCATATGTTGGTTCTTGATATTAGCTTAAAGGTCTCTATTAAAAGAAAAGAGCCAGTGTTATTTCAATGTATATTAACTAGGACATGTTACAAATAGGGATGAATTTAGACAGACATTCTATTTTTTGTTTGTCATGTTAACAATGTATCAGATTAGTTTCGATCAACAGTGCAGTACAATTACTACCTAATTTTTGGATTGGGGCTTACCTTATTGTGTTTATGATTCTGTACCTTTTATCTGATGGTAAGGTAAAGAATGGACATTTGGAGATCAGGACGGTGGTGAGGGGACAGTGGGTATTGTATGCCGAGCAGATCCTGCAAAGACTGTCCATGTAAGTTAATAATACGTCAACTATTTTCTGTGAAGTTTTAATTAAAGGTCATCAAGCCAATCAAAAATCCAATTGATAAAACATTTCACGAATTTTTAAAACATATCATCAATTGGGATCATTAAATCCTCTTTTGAAAACGCAGTTTCAAAACTTTGTTCAAATGACGTCATTTGAATAAGGATGTCTGCCCCATTCTACATTGACACATCTAGTCTTTTTGACAGGTCTGACATTCATCAATATGTACATTTGGCCTATATGCAGTAACAGTTGTCGGACAAATGACGTCATATTATCTAATATGTATATCTTATTCTTCTTTCTTACGTTTGGCCTGTGCTACAGGTGCGATGGCCTAACAAGACAGTAGAGAGATATAACTTTGGAGCTAATGGACGCTTTGACGTGGAACTGATGTAAGAAATGTTATATCATTAAATAAGTTTATGTTATTGCCTTTTCAGTTACAAGTATGACATAACTGGTTATGCTTGTTGTTTCCAATGTGTAAAAAAGAATTCGGTTTCGTGTTTTTCATATACGTTTTACGAGTTCATGCAAAGGAAATTACAATATCTTGTATTAATTTATTGAAATATTTTGTTAAAGGGAAAAATTTGATATTGCTGTCTATACTGTATGCAGTATTGTTCTAATACATTGACTAGATTTGTCGACGATTCTACAGTATATATGTTTAAGGTATTTTTTTAAAGTAGACATATTATTGATTTTAGTAACCAACGAGAACCCAGTGTAACTTCAGCCTCCATTTTTCCACCCAAAAGGAGAGAGGGTACTATTGCAGGCAAGGGCAAGGACGCTCGGAAGGAAATGTCTATTGAAGACATGAATCGTCTCAACCAGAGAAAATAAACGCGTCTTTTATATCAAAAATGTGCATGTACTGGACAGGATAAAAAAGAAATATTTCTTTTATAATAAAATGTATAAAAGACAAAAGGTTCAAAATCCTCCATTATAAAAACAAGAGGCCCATGGGCCTTAACGGTCACCTAAGTAATGTAACAAATGATGTTAACGATGTTGCCAAATGAAAAAGAAATCACTTTGTAACAAAGGTAACTTGAACTACATGTAATGCAAAAGTAGTGTGAAAGATCTGGGTAGTATATGTACTATGTACAAATAGTGGTTCTGTCAGTCACCTGAAGACCCTCCATCTATGAAGAGTATTTGATTCTACCATATCTGGGTCTTGAGCAGAAGATTTTTGAAATTTCAGTAAATTTGACCCTTTTTGGCCCCACCCATCAGCCCCTGGGGGTTAGTCAGGGTTAATCTGTTCATATCATCAAATTGCTATCCAATAATGATAATGCTAACCAAGTTTGAATTAATTCCAATGGAAATTAAACAAATGTTGGTCCAAAATGTGATTTCCCTATATAAACGATAGTTAAGTTTTTCCCCTCCCCAGGGGTAAACGTGAGACTCCAGGGTTATGAACTTCACTATTTTGGTAAAGCACCTTAAGACCCTTCCATATATGAAGAGTATTTGATTCTACCATATTTGGGTCTTGAGAAGAAGATTTTTGAAATTTCAGTCAATTCAAATTTGTTTGGCCCCTGGGGGCTCGGGACCATATAATTCACAATTTTGGTCATGAAAGGTTTCTGCAAAATCTTATTGAAATTGGTTCAGGGGTTTTGGAGAAGAAGTCGAAAACTGCACGACGGACGACGCACGACGCACGGACAAAAGGCGATCGCAATAGGTCTCAAGTGACCTAATAAAATCATCCAATGATAACAACACTTTGTCTATATGGTTACAAAATAGTACAATCATTGTATGACCTTGATTTATCTTTTTTGAAAGGCCTTGTATTTTGTTGTCACTATCCCAGTCCTCGATGTCATGACATAGATCTATATGATAAGTATAGTCGATGAATCAGAAGACGCTTACCTTTCTGGAACACCTGGTCATATACTCCTTCTACTTTTTAAAGAATCCCCATGTAAATCTTTCCTTTGTTTATATCTTGCCCTGGCTTATCGATTTTGAGCTCGAATGGTGGTTTTGTTTACGTTCCGGTATTCTTTTCTTGTTTTTGTTACCTTGTCGTTAGGCAGTAGCGGTTGAGCCGTACTGATAATGTCATTATGTGCGTGCGTAAGTGAAAGAGTAAGAATGAGTATCTTATAACTGTTTAAGTGAGCGAGTAAAAGTGAGTGTCAATTAAGTTTGTAAGTGAGCGAGTAAGAGTGAGTGTCTTATTAATTTTATAGTAAGCGGTGTAAAAGTGAGTGGCATATAAGTTTGTAAGTGAGCGAGTAAGAGTGAGTATCTTTTAAGTATTTAAGTGAGCGAGTAAAGGTGATTGTCAATAAAGTTTGCAAGTGAGCTAGTAAGAGTGACTGTCATATAAGTTTGTAAGTGAGCGAGTGAGTGTCTTATTAATTCTAAAGTGAGCGAGTAAAGGTGATTGTCAATAAAGTTTGTAAGTGAGCTAGTAAGAGTGACTGTCATATAAGTTTGTAAGTGAGGGAGTGAGTGTCTTATTAATTCTAAAGTGAGCGAGTAAAGGTGATTGTCAATAAAGTTTGTAAGTGAGCGAGTAAGAGTGAGTGTCATATAAGTTTGTAAGTGAGAGAGTAAGAGTGAGTGTCTTATTAATTCTATAGTGAGCGAGTAAGGGCGAGTGTCATATAAGTTTGTAAGTGAGCGAGTAAGAGTGAGTATCTTAAAAGTGTTTAAATGAGCGAGTATAGGTGATTGTCAATAAAGTTTGTAAGTGAGCTAGTAAGAGTGACTGTCATATAAGTTTGTAAGTGAGAGAGTAAGAGTGAGTGTCTTATTAATTCTATAGTGAGCGAGTAAGGGCGAGTGTCATATAAGTTTGTAAGTGAGCGAGTAAGAGTGAGTATCTTAAAAGTGTTTAAATGAGCGAGTAAAGGTGATTGTCAATAAAGTTTGTAAGTGAGCTAGTAAGAGTGACTGTCATATAAGTTTGTAAGTGAGCGAGTAAGAGTGAGTGTCTTATTAATTCTATAGTGAGCGAGTAAGGGCGAGTGTCATATAAGTGTTTAAGTGAGCGAGTAAAGGTGATTGTCAATAAAGTTTGTAAGTGAGCTAGTAAGAGTGACTGTCATATAAGTTTGTAAGTGAGCGAGTAAGAGTGAGTGTCTTATTAATTCTATAGTGAGCGAGTAAGGGCGAGTGTCATATAAGTGTTTAAGTGAGCGAGTAAAGGTGATTGTCAATAAAGTTTGTAAGTGAGCTAGTAAGAGTGACTGTCATATAAGTTTGTAAGTGAGCGAGTAAGTTGAGTGTCTTATTAATTCTATAGTGAGCGAGTAAGGGCGAGTGTCATATAAGTTTTTAAGTGGGCGAGTAAGAGTGAGTGTCTTATACGTTTATAAGTGAGCAAGTAAGAGTGAGTGTATTGTAAATTTGTAAGTCTGCGAGTAATAGTAAGCGTCTTTTAAGTTTTAAGTAAGCGAGAAAAGGTGAATATCTTATGTGTTTGTAAGTGAGCAAGTGAGAAAAAGTGTCTGTATAAGTTTGTAAGTGACCGGGTTAGGGTGAGTAACATATAAATCCGTAGTAGAGCGAGCAAGGGTGAGTATCTGTAAGTAAGAGATTAAAAGTGAGTATCGTATGTGTTTGTTAGTGAGCGAGTAAAGGTGAGTATCTGTAAGTAAGAGAATAAAAGTGAGTATCGGATGTGTTTGTTAGTGAGCGAGTAAGGGTGAGTATCTCTAAGTAAGAGATTAAAATTGAGTATCGTATGTGTTTGTTAGTGAGCGAGTAAGGGTGAGTATCTGTAAGTAAGAGATTAAAAGGGAGTATCGTATGTGTTTGTTAGTGAGCGAGTAAAGGTGAGTATGTGTAAGAGATTAAAAGCGAGTATCGTATGTGTTTGTTAGTGAGCGAGTAAGGGTGCGTATCTCTAAGTAAGAGATTAAAATTGAGTATCGTATGTGTTTGTTAGTGAGCGAGTAAGGGAGAGTATCTGTAAGTAAGAGATTACAAGTGAGTATCGTATGCGTTTGTTAGTGAGCGAGTAAAGGTGAGTATCTGTAAGTAAGAGAATAAAAGTGAGTATCGGATGTGTTTGTTAGTGAGCGAGTAAGGGTGAGTATCTGTAAGTAAGAGATTAAAAGGGAGTATCGTATGTGTTTGTTAGTGAGCGAGTAAAGGTGAGTATGTGTAAGAGATTAAAAGCGAGTATCGTATGTGTTTGTTAGTGAGCGAGTAAGGGTGAGTATCTATAAGTAAGAGATTACAAGTGAGTATCGTATGTGTTTGTTAGTGAGCAAGTAAGGGTGAGTATCTGTTAGTAAGAGATTACAAGTGAGCATCGTATGTGTTTGTTTGTGAGCGAGTAAGGGTGAGTATCTGTAAGTAAGAGATTAAAAATGAGTATCGTATGTGGTTTTTAGTGAGCGAGTAAGGTTGAGTATCTGTAAGTAAGAGATTAAAAGTGAGTATCGTATGTGTTTGTTAGTGAGCGAGTAAGGGTGAGTATCTGTAAGTAAGAGATTAAAAGTGAGTATCGTATGTGTTTGTTAGTGAGCGAGTAAGGGTGAGTATCTGTAAGTAAGAGATTAAAAGTGAGTATCGTATGTGTTTGTTAGTGAGCGAGTAAGGGTGAGTATCTGTAAGTAAGAGATTAAAAGTGAGTATCGTATGTGTTTGTTAGTGAGCGAGTAAGGGTGAGTATCTGTAAGTAAGAGATTAAAAGTGAGTATCGTATGTGTTTGTTAGTGAGCGAGTAAGGGTGAGTATCTGTAAGTAAGAGATTAAAAGTGAGTATCGTATGTGTTTGTTAGTGAGCGAGTAAGAGTAGATATATTATACATTTCTTAGTGAGCAAGTAAGAGTAAGAATGGTATGATATTTATATTATACTACAATTAGATATATATAATAAATATATCTTCTTTTTATATATTTAAGTTATAACATAATATAAGTACGTTATAAATATCTACATAATGTAATATCACTTCATTTATTCTTTTTTCCACACTACATGTACCTCATTTAAGTGTATATATTATACATGAACATGCTACATGTGTCTGCACGATCATTAAAATCATCTATATTGAATATGTTCTATATGACTATTAATTGATATACAATTTAGACTGATAGGCTGTTCCTGTTATCTAATCTTTTTGTATCAATTAATTTAGCTAAAACCAGTATGTAGAACTTATTGCATGTCGTTGCTGTTATGCCATTTCACATTTATTTGTATCATAGTACCCGTTTATGTTTACGAATTTCCCTGTCAATGTGTGTCAAAATTACCCTTGTATGACATTTCACGTTTATTTGTATCAGAATACCATTGTATGACACTTCACGTTTATATGTGTCAATAGTACCCATGTATTTTCAAGACATGTACCGTTTATGTGTGTCAAAGGTTACCATGTATTGATGTGACATATAGGGTTTATTTGTGTCAATAGTACCCTTGTATTTGTACGACATGTCCCGTTTTTTGTGTGTCAATAGTACCTGTGTATTTGTATGACATTTCCCTTTTTGTGTCAATAGTGCCCTTGTAATTTATGGCATGTAGGGTTTATTAGTGTCAATAGTACCCGTGCATTTGTATGAAATGTCCCGTTTATTTGTGTCAATAGTACTAGTTCCCGTGTATGATATTTCCCTTTGATGTGTATCAATAATACCCTCGTATTTGTACGACATTTCACGTTTATTTCTAGCATAGTCCCTTGAATGACATTTCACGTTTATGGGTGTCAATAGTACCCTTGTATTTATATGACATGTTGGGGGGGGGGGGTTGTCAATAGTACCCTTATGTTTATGACATGTAGGGTTTATTTGTGTCAATAGTCCCCTTGTATGACATTTCGCGTTTGGGTGTGTCAATAATACCCGTGTATGTGTATGACATTTCATGTTTATGTGTGTCAAAAGTCCCCTTGTATGACATTTCCCTTTGATGTTTGTCAATATTACCCGTGTATTTGTATGACATTTCCCGTTTATGTGTAGCAAAAGTACCTGTGTATTTGTATGAC